TCCCACCTCCACTTCCTGGGAAAGGGGATTGCAGCACAGCTGGGTTTTAGTTTGTTTTGTTTTGTTTTTTGCATAGTCCAGTATTGAACCCAGGGTCTCCTGCATAGTAGACAGCACCCTATTGACTAAACTCCATTCTCAACCCCTTTGTGGGGGGCAGATATTTCTGGAGTGGCTAAGGTGTTTAAAGGTTGAACAGATGTCGACACAAATGTTTAAGAGACAAAGGAGAAAGGTGAAAAATCATACAAAAATACAAGACTCTTGGTTTTTAGTGGCTTTGTGAGCCTAGTTGAGGAGCTCTTTGGGGGGTGGTGTTTGAACCAGGGCCTCACTCTGTAGCCATGTGTAGTCTAGAGCTCACTGGGCAGACCAGGCTGGCCTCTTAAAGGAACTCAGAGATGAGATCTACCTGCCTCAGCTTGCAGAGTGCTGGGAGTCCGTTGTTTAAGAAAACCAATTCTAGGTGGCTGGAGAGATGGCTCAGGGGTTAAGAGCACTGACCACTCTTCTGGAGATCCTGAGTTCAATTCCCAGCAACCCACATGGTGGCTCACAACCATCTGTAATGAGATCTGGCGCCCTCTTCTGGCCTGCAGGGATACATGCAGACAGAATATTGTATACATAATAAATAAATCTTTAAAAAAAGAAAAAAGAACAATTCTAAGTCCCCATCGTGATCAGGTCAAGCAGATGTCTACAACATGCCTGCAATGTGGTTATAAAGGATCAAGAGAGGAGTATGTGTAGAACTCTCAAGGAGAGCACCCAGCAAGGAGCAAGTCTTGTGAAAAGGTTGTTCTTAACTTAGAAGTAAGCTTAGCAAAGGTCGTAGGAGTTTGTCATTCCTCTGCTAACTTTGAACTAGTGTTCTCCAACACTACTAGGTTCTTTTTATTATTCTTATTTATTTATTTATTCTTGAGACAGTGTTTCTCTGTAGCTTTGGAGCCTGTCCTGGAACTAGCTCTTGTAGATTAGGCTGGCCTCGAACTCGGAGATCCGCCTGCCTCTGCCGCCTGAGTGCCTGGTTCACTATTAGGTTCTTAAGCCCAGGTTGTGCAACCACAGCTCTAAGGAATCTGTCGATTCTGTTGTAACAGTTCTGGCCTCCTTGGCCTTTGTCAGTGAGCTCCCAGTGGCCAGAGACAACAGAAGCGCCACCCATTCCCTTGAAGGCATCACTGTTAAACTTAACTCCTGAAGCGCCTCCTGAGACAAACCCATCACTGCGGTCACTAGGCAACTCAAATCAAACTCTGCCCTCTTCCGGAAACTTTAGGTTGGACACGTGCCCCTGGAAAGCGAATCAAAAAACCGGGGTGCTAAGGGCAACGGGTGGAGCCAGGGACGTAAGAGGCCAGCGGAGGTGAAAGAGTGGGTTGGTCCAAGCCCCAGAGGGCGGACTTACAGGGTGGAGCCTGGAGCAAAGCCTGAGTAAGAACAGAAGCTGTGGGCGGAGCTCTGCCAGGGCGAACCTCGCCGCCTGTCCTGGATCTCGCTTTGGGACTTTCTTTGTGTTTGTTTGTTTGTTTGTTTGTTTGTTTCGAGCAAAGGTGTCTCCGTGTAGCCCAAGCTGTCCTGGAATTAGCTCTGTAGACCGAACTCCGAGATCCGCTTGCCTCTTCCTTCGGTGTGTTGGGATTGAAGGCGCGCGCCACCACCGCCCTACTGGCACTTTCTATTTTTGCCAGTTGTATTTGGCGTTTCTATCTTGATAAGGAGTTGCAGCCAGTTTCCTTTTTTCCCTTTTCTCCTTCCTTCCTTCCTTCCTTCCTTCCTTCCTTCCTTCGTTTCTTTCTTTTCCTTCCTTCCTTCCTCTCTCCTCCCTCTGTCTCTCTCTCTCTCCTCCTCCTTCTCCTCCTCCTTCTCCTTCTTATCTCTTTCCATTCCTTCCTTCTGTTCGTTTTCGAGACAGGGTTTCTCTGTGTACTCCTGGCTATCCTTGAACTCTGCCAGCCTCTATCTCCTGAAAGCTGGGATTAAAGTCATGAGCCCTCCCCACCCCCCACCTCCCCACCCCCGCCCCCAGCGCAGTCTGTTTCTTTATGGCCAAAGTTCTAAAGGCACCATTACATTGTAATTTAAAAGAGATTATTGACTGTAGTAGCAACTAATCAGAAAGCTGAGGAACTCTGGGACCCTTGACAAGCCTGGACAATGTATTCTGTCAAAAACCAAAATAAATGGAAGAAGCCATTTTTCTGGGCTAAACTCCTACAGACAAGAACACAACCGAGCCAAGGATGTGAGGGACCACATAGCCAAACAAAACCTAAAAACCGGGCTAGTTGCCCACCGTCTAGGAGATGGCCCCGTGGGTAAAGTGAGGACCTGAGTTGCTCCACAGCACCCACGTAAAAAGCTGGCATTGCTGTGAGTGCATAACCCAGTCCTGGAGCTGCTGGGCAGACAGATCCCTAGAGATCACTGGTCAGCCAGTCTAGCCAGTCATCTACTGAGTCCCAGGCAGCGTGAGACGCCTGATCCAAAAATAAGATGGCAAAGAACTGAGACTGGAGAGAGATGGCCCCGCAGTAAGAGTACTGGCTGTGCTGGGCAGTGGTGGTGCACTCCTTTAGTCCCAGCACTCGGGAGGCAGAGGCAGGCAGATCTCTGTGAGTTCGAGGCCAGCCTGGTCTACCTAGGGAGTTCCAGGACAGCCAGGACTACACAGAGAGACCCTGTCTCAGAAATAAATAAATAGCAATAACTAAATAAAGTGCTGGTGTAGCAGTGCATGCCTTAATCCCAATGCTCTGAGACCTGTCTCAAAAAAAAAAAAAGGAAAGGAAAGAAAGAAGAAACAAAAGAAAAAGAAAGCTCTTTTCCATCTTCCTCTCGGAGAGGCAGCTTCGCTTCTGCCTCTCTGTCTCTTTCTCCTCTTCTCTCTCTCTCCCTCTCTCTCTGTCCCCCCTTCACCCTTCCTCCTCCATAACTCCCTGAATAAACATTCAACCTCACCCTGAAAAAAAAAAAAAGAAAAAAAAGAAAAAGAAAGCCTATTAAGATGCACTTGCCTTCACTGAGCCACTGCCCCTCTGCAATAGAAAGTGCTCTCTGAGCTGGGGCACAGGGGCTCCAGCAGGAAAGGCTGCAAGAAACATAAATGAACAAGCACCAGATTGGTCTTTGTTTCTGAGACAGAGTGTTGCTATGTAGCCCTGGCTGACCTAGAACTCCCTTTGTAGCCCGGGCTGGCTTTGAACTCACAGAGATCTGTCTATCTCTGACCTTGATTCACAGAAATCCTCTGCCTCTATCTCCAAAGTACTGAAATCAAAGACATCCATTACCACACACTGCTCTGTTTTTAAAAACCTTTAACCACCCTACCACTGGAAATGACATGAGTGGGAAAGGCTCCAGGCCAGGATTTGCTATCTGCCATTTCTACCACATTCACCATGGGAAGAGAAAGCAGCAGTGTCGGAGCCGGGCACTGGTGGTGCACACCTTTAATCTCAGCACTCAGGAGGCAGAGGCAGGTGGGTCTCTGTGAGTTCGAGGCCAGCCTAGTCTACAAGAGCTAGTTCCAGGACAGGCTCCAAAGCTACAGAGAAACCCTGTCTCCAAGAACCAAAAAAAAAAAAAAAAAAAAAAAAAAAAAAAAAAAAAAAAAAAAAAGCTGTCTGTCTTCTGCTGCCTTTGCTGTACATGAGCTTTGGGCTGATTTCTAGACCTGCCCCACCTTTTGCTTAGGACCACCAGAGTGCTGGCAGACTGAACTCCAAGGTCAAGCAGATTGAGTTTTCAGTCTCCTCCTTATGCCACACAACAGACCACCCAAATGCCCACTGGCATCAAATAGGTTCCTCAGGACGACACTGACACCCGATAGCAGGTGTACCTTTGCTATGGATAGGGACACTAAGTGCCAATGATCTGTGCACATTCTTCCTCCTGCCTGGGGGGAATGGGTGGCTTAGGTTAAAAACCGCCTAATAAGAATGAATGGACCCCCATATGCTGCCTCTTCAGGTGTGTGGGCTTCCACCAGCATAGTGCTGGGTCCCAAGAGTGCCCTCTCTGAGCACCAAGCTGGAGCTCAGTGTCTTTTTCTGCCCTAAACTCTGGAGCACCGCTTCCCTAAAAGTGGCGATGCTGTTCAGTTCCCCAGTTCTCTCACAACAGCCCTGAGATAGCCAACCGGTAAGGAGAAACTGCTTATTTTGCTCAACTCTGGAGCTGCACCCCATGTTCTTCTGGACCTGTTGCCTTTGCCCCTCCCGTCATGGCAGGGAGTGCGTAGGAGATGGAGCAAAGACCTTCACCTCACAATCAGAACAGAAGAGCAAGGAGACAACCACCGCACGATGGAAAGACGAGGTAGCTGTGCCCAGACCTCCACAGAGTGAAGAGACCGACTGAAGGCGTAAGTCACAAACAATGCCACACCAGTTTGGAATTATGATTAATAGGGTGGTATTTATTTAAAGGGGAAAAAACTTACAGATCGCCGTCCCAGACAATAGCCTTCTACGCGACCAGGAAGGGAGTCTAGTCGCGGAGCAGGAAGTGAAGAGAGAGAGGAGAGGGAAGTGGCTGCTTTTTTAAAGGGAGAGAGACCACGCCCCAATGGGCTGGTATCTCAGTGGCTATAGGCTGGAGGAGTGGGAGGACCTCCCGCAACACCTCCCCCTTTTGTTTAAATAAGAGAGTTCTAAACCTACTATGAAGTTATATACAATAAGTACAAATATCCTATTCTAATCAGCTTAGGTCTTGTATAATAAATAACTTGGCCAAGTCATGAGAGAAAGTAACTACATTTATGTAGTCTTCAACCCCATCGAAGATCTGAGAAGGGAAATAATGTTACCTGGGTAATTAGGAAGTTCAATAAAACAACTTCCAAAACATGCAACAAATCACAGAGACAACTAGCTACCTGGGCAATCACCCAAAGTCACGTTAGCAGCGTTGAAGCGACCAACTTTGGCTAAGGCCTAACATAACTGACATACCATTTTCAAAGGCAAGCAACTTTTCAAAACTATCTTACCCTGTCTTGGCAGGATATGACAGTCCTGTTTTATCCATTGATGCATGCTCTGTATCTCTCGGCCAACATCAGTCTTGATCTCACTCATGTTTTGAACATGCCTCATGTCTTGAATTAGAGAGACCCTGAGTGTTGGTAACATAACTCCTGAGTCAGATTTTCTTCTTTCTGGTCCAAGGGCAACTGGTGAATCTGTAAGGTGCTCTTGTTTCTCTTCTCTGTCCTGGAAATGAATTAAATGTGACCACAAGGCAGATTTCCCCTGCTTGACCTGTAAGCCATGGCTCCATAGCCTCTCCAGTAGGTCACAGAGGCTGGCGATCAAGGTATTTTCTTCCAAGCCAGTGATGTTCGCTTCTCCATGGCCCAGCTCCACTGCTTCATGTCCCATCTTCTCTACCAACATGCGTTTTGTCTTCATTCTGCATTCTTTTAATAAGCCTTCTACGAATTTCCAGTTGGTTTGTGCGATCACAGCAGGTGAGAGATCTGACAACTTCGGTTGCCTCATGTTCTTTCCTAGGCTTCACGCCTCTTGCATATATTTCTCCCGTAGGTCATTGTCTAGTCCAATGTGCTCAGAATGCTGGCGCAGGCGTTCTTTCCGGCGCTGTGCTGTGGCATTTCGGCTCACCCAGCGATTGTTATTGGCTGGTCCTGCCGCCAAGACGTCGGACTGCAGCTTTGGGAAGAACCCTTGCTCATATTTGCCTTGGCCGATTTTCATGCCAAGTAGATGTGGGTGAATTGCAGTGTGATCCATTTTCATCAGTCTTTGCTCAATTGACTGGGCTGCTTCTTTTAAACTGCTGCACTTCTGATAGATAGAAGTCCGCAGGGTGGGTGTGGGTGCCCTTACGTTATACAACCTTATCTTCTCAATCTGAGAGTCAAAGACCCGAAGTAGAGGGTCCTTCTCTTCCCACTGAGACATGATTTTATTATCAATAAAGGTGGCGAACATCTGTGTTTCAATGAAGCGTGAAAGAAATGGCAGGTAAGGCTCAGGCTGGTCAGAGAGGAAGGATGCTTTGTCAAAGTTCTGCATCTGCTCCCGGTTGGTCAGCCAGGCCTCCATGTCCTGGGCGGTCTGAATCACAAATGCTTCATAATCCGCAAACATCTGTATAAAGCAGCTGGCAAAGACCTCTCGTACTTGTACATTGAGTTGGTAGTCCCTTAATTCTGCCTCTTCACACTGTAATTTCAAATCCTTTTCTTTTTCATTCAGAGAAGCCCGGCTAGCTCAGTCAGTAGAGCATGGGACTCTTAATCCCAGGGTTGTGGGTTCGGGCCCCACGTTGGGCGCCAACTGAAGACATAAATCACAAACAATGCCACACCAGTTTGGAATTATGATTAATAGGGTGGTATTTATTTAAAGGGGAAAAAACTTACAGATCACTGTCCCAGACAACAGCCTTCTACGCAACCAGGAAGGGAGTCTAGTCGCCAGCGGAGCAGGAAGTGAAGAGAGAGAGAGGAGAGGGAAGTGGCCGCTTTTTTAAAGGGAGAGAGACCACGCCCCAATGGGCTGGTATCTCAGTGGCTATAGGCTGGAGGAGTGGGAGGACCTCCCGCAACAACCGACAATTTGGATTGCACCCCAGTGGAATGTTGGACCTTGGAGTTGTACCAACCAACACCATAGGAAGTAAATAATTTAATTGCCAGTCTTCAATCCCAGCACTTTGGAGGCAGAGGCAGGTTGATCTCTGTGAGTTCAAGGGCAGCCTGGTTTACATAGGGAATTCCAGGATAACCAGGGTGATGTAAGGAGACCCTGTCTCAAAAACAAAAATTTAGTAAGACAGGATAAATTGTTAATTTAGACTTCAGGTCAGGTCACTAAGTTTCAGGGAAGTGTGTTTCACAGCCACAGTGGAGACAGCACAGTGTTGCCCGTTGTCTACTTTTCCGTGTTGACCTCCAGAGCCCAGACGACATCAGGGCCAGAACTGGAGACATGTTGTCCTTTTAGGAGGAGCAGCCCTAGTCTGACACCAGTACTAACAGCTCTGCGGTCTTTCTTCTTTAGTACCTATGGCTGACACACATGGAGAGAACCTGTGAGAAGGTACTGTGTACACCAAATTCTCTCAGGCTATCACCACGCGGAGGGTAGGGGCTTAAGCTCTGACAACACCCTTGAACACAAGGATGGTGGCAGAGGCTCAGTTTAGAAGTTCTGCCTTTGCCCAGCTGTGTACACTCGCAGTCGCCCTCTCTGGGCTTCTCAGTCTTCTTCAGTGAGGTGGGGGAGCGCTGGGCAAGGATCTCTGGCAATGTCACTTTCTGTGACAGATACTGGGGGGAACACGGAGCCAGCATATGGTTGGATCCCATCCCCAGCTAGCGCCTTCTCAAAGGCCACGTACCAGCCTTCCCAACAGTTTTCCCTGTCCCGTCTCTCATCTCTCCAATTCAAGTCTCAGGCTTCGGCTTCCTTATATGGCTGCTAACACTTGACTTTCAGCATAGACAGCAGGAAGAAAGTTGAACATGACACCCTGTGGGAGATCAGGAACAGCTGCTTTCTGAGTCAGATGTGCCAGGGGTTCTGGGATGAGGATTTAAACCAAGCAAACTTCCTTCTCTAGTTCCCCTCCCTCATTCTCTGGGATGCCCGAGGAGACCCTTCAAACACAAACCTTAGCCACAAGTGTTAGTCACTACCCTGGGAAGAGAAGGGCTGCCCATACTCCTCCTCTTCCCTTATAGCTCTAAATTGGTCTTTCCCAGAACAAAAATAAACCTGCTTTATATCAAACATGCTTCAGCCTAGTTCTTGTCTTAAAAAAAAAATGGCAGAAAAAGGCAAAGGAAAAGAACTCTCCAGTACCAGGCAGAGATCTGACAGCAGAGACTTTATTAAGTATACCCCCCTCCAAATATAAACACAACTCAGTAAAAAAACCAAAACAAGCCATAAAACATCAGGCCTGGAGCCATGATAAAACAGAGACAAATGAGCAACACAAATACAGAGGTGGCCTAAACGGGGAGGACAGAGCCAAGTGGACTCATGTGGGGCGGGGATGGCCATAAATACTGAAGGACTTTAACCTGGGAGCCCTAGGATGCCCTAGTGAGCCTGGGGAGCAAAGCTGGGGGCAGTGTCAGTAGCTAGATGGCTCTGGGGAACAGATGCTGCTTGGCTTGGCCCTGGCTGCCACTTGGCCCCACACCCCAGCTGTGAGCAACTTCACTTGGGCCCCTGGGCTTCGGATTCCTCGTCATCGTCTTCATACATTTCACCCTCCTCCTCAGCTGTGGCATCCTGGTACTGCTGGTACTCAGATACCAGGTCGTTCATGTTGCTCTCGGCCTCGGTGAACTCCATCTCATCCATGCCCTCGCCCGTGTACCAGTGCAGGAAGGCCTTGCGCCGGAACATGGCTGTGAACTGCTCCGAGATGCGCTTGAAGAGCTCCTGGATGGCCGTGCTGTTGCCGATGAAGGTGGATGACATCTTGAGGCCGCGGGGTGGGATATCGCACACAGCTACCTTGACGTTGTTGGGGATCCACTCCACGAAGTAGCTGCTGTTCTTACTCTGGATGGCCAACATCTGCTCATCCACCTCCTTCATGGACATGCGCCCACGGAAGACAGTGGCCACTGTCAGGTATCGGCCGTGGCGTGGGTCACAGGCAGCCATCATATTCTTGGCATCAAACATCTGCTGGGTGAGCTCAGGTACCGTCAGGGCACGGTATTGCTGGCTGCCCCGGGCTGTGAGTGGGGCAAAGCCAGGCATGAAGAAGTGCAGGCGGGGAAAGGGCACCATGTTGACAGCCAGCTTGCGGAGGTCAGCATTGAGTTGACCGGGGAATCGAAGGGAGGTAGTGACTCCACTCATGGTAGCAGACACAAGGTGGTTGAGGTCCCCATAGGTGGGTGTGGCCAACTTGAGGGTGCGAAAGCAGATGTCGTAGAGGGCCTCATTGTCGATACAGTAGGTTTCATCCGTGTTCTCCACCAGCTGGTGGATGGACAGGGTGGCGTTGTAGGGCTCCACCACAGTGTCCGACACTTTGGGCGAGGGCACCACGCTGAAGGTGTTCATGATGCGGTCAGGGTACTCCTCACGCACCTTGCTGATGAGCAGCGTGCCCATGCCTGAGCCTGTGCCCCCGCCCAGCGAGTGTGTCAGCTGGAAGCCCTGCAGACAGTCGCAGTTTTCACACTCCTTCCGCACGACATCCAGGACTGAGTCCACCAACTCTGCGCCCTCAGTATAGTGCCCTTTGGCCCAGTTGTTGCCAGCGCCACTCTGACCTGTAGAGACAGAAGAAGCAGGTGATGGGCTAAGTCAAGGGTCTACAGCAGGACCTGCCAGACACCCAGAAATATGTTGGTTCCCCTGTGGTCTGTAAAATGCACACTGCTAACATGCCTTCTCATTCCATCCCGGGCATCACTGTTGAGTTGCGGGGATCTCAGCTGCAGACGCTGTGAACAGGGTATGGAGAATCTGGGATGAGACGAGAGCCTTACTATCTCTCAAGGATGTCCCAGATGAATAGCTCAGCCTTCCTCTCTGGCTCACCTTTCTTCCCAACGGTCTGCTGAGACCTTGAAGGGAGATGAAGGCTGTCCTTAATTCAGTCACCTCATCCCTCTAAGCCAGAATAAAATGAAACCCTGAGCATCTCTTGTGACCGAGGACTGGCTGAGAACTGTCACGTGCTAGTCTAGTACCAAGGTCTTTACATACAATGACACGTTTGTTTCTTTAGAGAGAGAGAATATGTATGTGTTGGGTACACGTACTTGTGGGCATGCACATGCTCTGGCACGCGTGTGAAGCTCAGAGGACAACTTAAAGAGGTTGGTTCTCTCTTTCTACCACCTGGATCCCGGGGATTGAACTCAGATCATCAGGTTTGATCACAAGCCTCTTTACCTACTGAGATGTTTTACTGACTCAAGATGCTAGAATCCTGAAAGGAGAGGTGCAAGACTGCCCTCCTGTGTCTGTCACGGGCATAGGCACAAGGACAACTTGACCTCTTGGCAGGTGCTCATAAACTGGGGTCCTCCATAAACTTTTGTGTTGTTTTGTTTTTCAAGACAGAATTTCTCTGCATAGCCCAAGCTGTCATGGAATTCCCTCTGTAGACCAGGTTGGCCTCAAACTCACAGAGATTTGCCTGCTTCTGCCTCCCGAGTGCTGGGATTAAAGGTGAAGGTGTGTGCCACCACCGACCAGTCTGGCGTCCCTACTGTTGTCCCCACAACTCTGTGATAATTCCAAAAGCTTGTGCTTTATATGTTATTCTTTGTAAAATGTTGAGAGGGATTTATTTCCTACACAGAACCCTGTATCTGGACCTCTAATGTCCACTGTAATATGGAAAGTCATTTTTGCCCTCCAGAGTCCCAGTGAAAAATAATCCCCTCAGACATTCTGCCTCTGTTGACCAGGGTTTGCCAGGCCCAGGTTTCTGTCATCAGAGCCTGGAACAGGGGAACTTACCAAAGATAAAGTTGTCAGGCCTGAATAGGTGCCCAAAGGCTCCAGACCGCACACTGTCCATGGTTCCAGGTTCCAGGTCCACCAGAATGGCTCTGGGCACATACTTGTGAGCTGAGAGGAAAGAGGAGTCAGTGGTGTGAGTTAAAAGAGTTAGGGGAACCTGCTTCCCTCTGAATCCTGCCCTCAGCCTGCCAGTCTCCTGCACTTAGTAAGGGCTGGAACTTGTATTATAGGCATGGATCCATAGTAAGCTCTGGCCTGGCCAAGAGTGTAATGATGGACACCCAGGACAGGTAGGATCAAGTCTTGACCATCCCTGGACTACTCAAGGCCATTGCTATCATTAAATACATTTGCATCTTACTCCAGGTAGTCACTTTTTTTTTTTTAAATATTTGTTTATTTATTATTTATACAATACTCTGTCTGTGTGTATGTTTGCAAGTCAGACCTCATTACAGATGGTTGTGAGCCACCATGTGGTTGCCGGGAATTGAACTCAGGACCTTTGGAAGAGCAGGCAATGCTCTTAACCACTGAGCCATCTCTCCAGCCCAGGTAGTCACTTTTTTAAAAATATTTATTTATTTATTATGTATACAATATTCTTTCTGCGTGTATGCCTGAAGGCCAGAAGGGGGCACCAGACCTCATTTCAGATGGTTGTAAGCCACCATGTGGTTGCTGGGAATTGAACTCAGGACCTTTGGAAGAGCAGGCAA